TAACACCTCCCCCCCAATAATTCAAACGGTCAAAGTTGGTCAAAATGGAAATGATATTTGCCAAAAGTTGGTCAAAATGAAACTGATATGTGCTTAAAATTGAAAGTAAAACTCGGAAAAGTTTGGTAACTAAAGTTTGGGATAAAAAATGGTCGAAGTAGGTCAAACTTATGAAATGGTTTGCAATTTTACTGTCGTTCCAATTGAAGTGTTGCTCAAATGTTGATTCAATACATCACCTCGAACTGACCAATTCATTTCATCAAGTTCCTCGAAATATTCGTACACTTCCTAGTATAATTGTAAACTTCCTGTTGAATAGGTTGAATGCACAAATCACCTTTGTTGTTTGTGCAACTAACTGATCAAAAATAGAAAGGAAGTGACCAGAAATGATCAGATACTTGGAATTGGCTCTTTCACAGGAAGTGTATGAATATCTCGAGGAACTTGATGAAATGAATTGGTCAGCCCGAGGTAATGTATTGAATCAATAATGAGCAACACTTCAATTGGAGCGACAGTAACAATTTTAAAGCTTTTGTTATGTTTGCGGTGAAAAAATTGGAAACCTTGCTTATCTTGGTCGAAAATTTTGAATATGCTTATGTTAGTCGGCTAGTCCAGAAAAATTTTTTGGAGGGTGTTTATGTTAGTCCGGAAATGTTTTTGACTATGCTTATGTTAGGGACCATTCATTATTTATGACTGGGGGTGGTCCGGCAAAAAAGGGGGTGGGTCATGAAGTATTTTTGACCGAATAAGGGTGGGGCACGTAAAAATATTAGTTCAGAAGGGGGGTCCAGTTATTATATTATAGTGGGGGAAAATTTGACTTGTAACGATTATTGCTACAGCAGAGAGCGAACAAGGCAGCAAATTTAATTGATGTACCTAGAAAACTTCTCCATTTTAATCAACACTGATAGATCGAAAATGCAATGCGCAAATACCCAAAATGCAATGCGTGCAGCTAATATGAAAAACAATCGAACATCTACCTTATAACTTTTGCCATGAACTTGCCATAAATATTGTCATGTTTCACTGATCAGTGTACATTTTAATAAAAAAGACACTCACGATAACGAGTAAGCATTGTAATACAGAGCCGTACTACATTATCCATGACAAACTGCAAAGAATGAAGATATTTCCCATACTTTCCTGTAACTTATCCAATAATCCAATATATAGTTAATTAAATACGCCTTTGCCCATTTATACTACTCATTTGTAAACAAATTGCAAATTTCGACATACTAAAACGCTGTTTTCTGACCATCAAAATTTTGTCAAATCTTTCCCAAAGTCTAGGGAATGGCATTTCAGAGACTCTAAATTTAAAAATTTCCTCGGGCCTTTGGCCCTCGTTTTCAGCCCCCAATAAAAAGAGCTTCCTACAGTACGGCACTGCAGCGTCATTACGTCTACAGCAAGTTTGGTGTACACTGTACAGACTATACACTAGGTATTTTATACATGGTTTAATTTAGTATCAAGTACATAGTGTGTGCTTTAGTAGAAAATATACTTCGTAGTGTAGAAAATACACTGAAACTGGATTCTAATTTTTAGGTCAGAATTTTTTTATCAAAATTCTTCTGGCCAGTCTAAAGTTAGGATTAGCAGAGTTTGTTCTGATTAATGTGCATATTGTTGAAAGCACAAGTAAATGTAGATATGATGCCTGGACATGTGTATATGTATACATTGGGGGTTACTATTTTTTAGAATTCATATGAAGGGGGTCATTGAATTTTTGTTGTGATGTAGGGGGGGCAGGACAATTTGTTTAGTTGTTAATTGAATTTTGCAAGCCCATCCCCGGTCATAAATAATGAATGGTCCTTTAGTCCGGAAATATTTTTTTACCTCCCCCCCCTCCGTCGAAACTATTTTCGGGAAATATTTGTATGACTTGGTCAAAATCATAGGAAATGTTGGTCAAAACATGACGACCCCCCCCCCGCCCCAATGTTGATGGCTTCGCGACGTCCCTGGAGGTACCGTGTTAGGAGGATCCATCTTGTCATGGCGCACCTTTGAACTCTTTCCAACAGCGTTTTGTTGTTATACTTCGATGGAGACCAGACTTTTGAAGCGCAACGTAGCTGGGATATTACCAGCTGTTTTTTAATCTATATCGTTATGTTGATAAAACAATTGTTTTTGTATGCGTTTATTAGTGTATAGTATATCGTGGGCACAAAACATACTGTTTCCCGAATGTCCCAGTCAATAAGTATATTATTATATACCAAGTGCTGGGAGGGGGGGTTGAATAAATGGGAAACTTTCATAATTTTTCGCTTTATAACTTGGCGATGTTACAGTATTATTCACCGGTGAATAAAAGTAATGTCCACCGCTGAAAGCTATTGCCAGGAGGCAGTCGAATTCCTTGACTTTCGTATGATACGATTTCGCCCAGTGAGATGCAAGCAAAAATGAATTTTGACACTTGCTATATAGGCCGTTTGCTGCGACCTCGAAAAGTGCCTAGAAAGTTTCATTAAGCATGTCTTGGAACTGAAATATTTTTACGGGAACTAACACTTTCGAACACGCTGAGTTCAAATCCGAAAACTTCCCGCACCGTAGACCCGCAGTTTTCTCACAAACTGCTATTTTATCTTCGCCAATGTCACAACAAATTTTTCAACGATACGGATGGATGAAGACACACGATTGCATAACTCGAAATGACTAATTCCTATGAACCAGTCTCTAAATTGAACAAAAGACTTATTTTGAGTTAATATGTAATTTTAAGCGTGTTGGACGTTAACAACATATCTTGTCTATAACTTTGGGAAGGTACCGATATCGCTTTGTAAAATCCTCAGTTCTGGCTGTATCTCTATAAAATCACAAGGACGTAAATATTAAGTCATTGCATGGGCTATATCTCTGGGATGAGAAATAATTCCTTATACATGCGCATGCGATCATTCGATCAAAATGTTTTACACAACGATGTAAAACGGTAATCTTATGGAATGGGTCAGCATTTCCATTTCCAACACAGTTTCTGAGATGTAATTCAAGAGGTAACTTATCATTGCATTTGACTATTATATCTGTTGGTGTTATTCTGTGCGATAAACGAATATTATTGGAAAGAGGGCTGCCATATACGTTGAAATCATCAAATAAACAGCTTATGTACACATTTCTCCACTTCGTCGTAAGTTTACAGAGCAGATTTTATACCTTGGCACTGGTCTTTGTCTTTGATATGAACATTTATTCCCCTAGTTTAAGGTTATTTAAGATTCATCCTGTCGTAAGTCTTCTGCTAGCAACCAATCGACAATATTTCACTTTAGCGTTGTCTTTGCCGTTACGTTAGCTTCACATTACTTTCGTTTTAAATACCTTGATCGCGTTAAATTAGTTATTTTTCAGGCCAGTGATATAGCCAAAAGACTTTTACAGAAATATGGCTAGAACTGAGGATTTTAGAAGGCGTTATCTGTACCTTCTCAAAGTAGTCTGGGATCTGTATATGAGTTTTTATGCATTTCATTTAGGACAGATAATCTCAACATGGTAACGCTGCCCGAACCCCAATCGGGGCGAAATGTCCGAAACTGACCACACCCAAAAACGACGCTTTCGCCATACTGCTATCTACCAAACCATAAAAGCTTTGGCTATTCTGAGGCGCTTATATGGTTCAGAGATGGTACTTTTGGGGGTGGTCATTGGTAAGTGTGAAATGCCTAGCACTAATATTTCACAAGAAAGTGACCATGCAATAATCATAGTTAAACGTCAATTTGTGGCTTGCAACTTCAGATAAACAGCAGTGGACTTACACTACCTTTTCCCCTAAATCTTTTTGATAGAAACATAACTGGTACTTATTTAAATATATTATCACTGGTTTGGTGTAAAATAGTTAATATTTTCTGACCGAAATAATAATTTGAAATGTGCCTACCTCCTGCAAATGGACGTATTTGGCCAAGTCCTCCACTTTACCCCGCTGTTTATCGGCGATCTCGTCCACATCCTTCCAAAAGTGTATATCATCTCACACATAATGGTATCAAGAACATTTTAAACAAGTCTCAACTTGGTTTCAAATAGATCATAGCTGTTTAACCATCGACAAGGTAAATCCACAAGTTTGTCCAAATTCGGCGCCATTTTGTCATCCCGTGTCGGTTGTCAACAATTCGGCCTTGTTACTCTTCCATCCAAACCATTTCCATTCCAGTAATAATAAATTTAACCCTTTATAACGGTAGGAAACTAAAAAATCTAAACAAAATATAAGAAATGCGGCATTTTATCACCCTGTAAAATGTTGCCTACGAGTCCTTCAAAACATTTCGTACAAATCTCGCGCGGTTTAGTAACAGGGACGTGACAGGGGGGTGGAGACTTGAAAAATGAAAGCAAAGCCCACACAGTATGACAGTATGGACCGTATGGTAAAACCATTTAAACCAACAATCAACATAAACAAGTGACTTGTTCATATTAATAAATAATAATATGTATATATTTGTCGCTACAAGAAATAAAACAAACGTTTGTATGATTGTATTTAGCTTTTAGTCTATTTCACGCAGCCTTCTTCTATCTTCGTGAAATAATCCACCCCCCTGTCACGTCCCTGTTACTTTGTCACGCGAGATTTGTACGGAATGTTTTGAAAGACTCGTGAGCAACATTTTGCAGGGTGATAAAATGCCGCATTTCTTATATTTTGTTTAGATTTTTTAGTTTCATACCGTTATAAAGGGTTAAATTTATTATTACTGGAATGGAAATGGCTTGGAAGGAAGAGTAACAAGGCCGAGTTGTTGACACCGACACGGGATGACAAAATGGCGCCGAATTTGGAGAAATTTGTTGATTTACCTTGTCGATGGTTAAACAGCTATGATCTATTTGAAACCAGGTTGAAACTTGTTTAAATATTCTTGATACCATTATGTGTGAGATGATATACACTTTTTGAAGGATGTGGACGAGATCGCCGATAAAGAGCGGAGTAAAGTGGAGAACTTGGCCAAATACGTCCATTTGCAGGAGGTAGGCACATTTCAAATTATTATTTTGGTCAGAAAATATTAACTATTTTACGCCAAACCAGTGATAATATATTTAAATAAGTACCAATTATGTTTCTATCAAAAAGATTTAGGGAAAAAGGTTATGTAAGTCCACTGCTGTTTATCTGAAGTTGAAGCCACAAATTGACGACGTTTTCTTGTGAAATATTAGTGCTAGGCATTTTACACTTACCAATGACCACCCCAAAAAATACCATCTCTGAACCATATAAGCACCTCAGAATAGCCAAAGCTTTATGGTTTGGTAGATAGCAGTATGGCGAAAGCATCGTTTTTGGGTGTGGTCAATTCGAACATTTCTCCCCGGATTGGGGTTCGGGCAGTGTTACCATGTTGACCGTCATGGTCAACTTGCCCGAAAACAGTTGAGATTATCTGTCCTAAATGAAATGCATACAAACTCATATACAGGTCCTAGACTAAAGTTGTAGACAAGATATGTTGTTTACGTGCGACACGCATACGATTACATAACTCAAAATAATTCGGGCAAAACCGATCTTTTGTTAAAAGGAAGACTGGTTAATAGAAATTGGTCGTTTTGAGTGATATAATCGTGTGGCGTCATTGATCCGTGTCGCTGAACAATGAAAGAAATTGTTGTGAAATTAGCAAAGATAATAATAGCATTTTGTGAGAAAACTGCGAGTTTACGGCGCGGGAAGTTTTCGAATTCGAACTCAGCGTGCTTGCAAGTGTTAGTTCCCGTAAAAATATTTAAGTTCCAAGACATGCTTAATGAAAGTGAACGATATGAGGACGAAGCAGACGGCCTAATATAATAAATGGTAATACCGTCTCACCCCTAAATAAAAGAGCTGGAAATTCCGCTTCTATCAATCATAGAGAAAGGTAAAGGTTGGGTATAACAATTACTTTGGCAATGGAAAACTAAGACATCATATTCAATGAAACTCAATTTTATTTAATTCAAACAATTTTGTTGTGAATTACAATAACGGAGTAAACTCTATTATTCTATTCTTGGGGGTGTTACAACTTGCCCCGCCAACATCAAACGGTAAAGGTGACAACCCTACACCCAGACCACGCGTACCTAACGTACCTATGTATTCGTTATCTGAATTAATCACACTGGCAAATGACACGCCTTTTTCAGTGTTTGGGATCTCAACGCCACCAAAAACAACAGTTGCTTTCCCAGGAATATCTTCTAGACTTCTGAACCAGCCGTAGTTAACTGCAATACCAACACTGGCATCCAGATTGAAACCTTTGCATGTTTGCTCATAACAAACTGCCTTGTCTTTCTTGAGATCCACTGCTATGCCAATTTCGACTCCATCCGACAACAAGACTGATACAGTGCCCGAGATTGAAAAGACCATTGTGTGCCAGGAAGAAGTACATTTTGCAAACGAACGTAGATAGTTCATAGTCTTCCTCGATTTCTCCCATAATCCAAGACAGGTGGCCTTTGTGAGAACCTGATCCTTAGCACCTTTCATGAAACTAACAATCTCACTTATGTCTGCGCCCTTAAGGTTGTCTCGTGAAAACGAAAAGCAACTTAGTGACTTTCCCCATCCCCGTCCATAGCTTTCCCTCAGGCAATTAGCACCAGTGTCCGTAGTTTCTCCACTGCAATGGCTCCAGCACAACGGGCCTACACCGTAATAACCAGATTTGCATGGCGGGTAACACAAGGCACCGCTCTGTTCTTCTTTGCTACCACACGAAAGAGGAACTCCAACACCACGGCCGTACGTCTTCTTAGCGTAAACATGGAGTGGTTGTCGACATGTACAGCCGTCATTCACATACCCTTTTTTGCATTTCTTCCCGCAAGTTGAGCCAAATAAGCCACATTTGTTGTACCATGGACAGGATCTAGTTAAGCAAAAGCAGTTGGAAAAAATTATGTTTTGGTAGGAATCATGCTGGAAGAAATGGATTAATGCGAACCCCCCTGCCGATAAATAACTGACAAAATAACTTGTCGGATTCTTCACGTTTTTACTAACAGTTAGAATATTAAAGAATGAAAATAATTCATTGTTTGAATAATTCAGTACGTTTCAAATCCGTTAACACTACATGGCATAATTATAGACTAGTGAGAGGGCTCCCAAGATAATCTTACAACAGTGGTGCCCTTCCTCTCCCCAACATCTTAGGGGACGGAAAATTGAGAGGAGGGGGAAAAATTAAGCTGATCCCTTCCAAATTCACGAAGTCACCAGGTGAAGTTTGAGGGTCGTCTTTCATGTTTCCCCACCCTTGCAATTGCTCCCTGATTTTCCAACAAAAATCTTACTTTTCTCGCAATAGGTCATACTACGTGAATTTTTACATTCCCATGCATGCTTTTGTTGTCTGTGAACTCTCGATCTCCCCGCAAAATTGATGGCGTGGTGGAAAACAGTGAGTTTTTTATCTTTTTATTTGCAGTCTATTCATGAGAGGAGTCAGCGTTTGTGGGAGAAATTATGCTAGAAATGATCGTGGTTCGAAACGTTATGTCGTGAAAATCACTTTTAATTGAGCTGACCTTAAGTCTTGAATCCAATTTGCGAAACTATTATGGTGGGAGAGAAATTGATTTTGATTTTTCATTGAAGATAAATTTGCGAAACCGCTATGGTGGCAGAGAAATTGATTTTGATTTTTCATTGAAGATAAATTAATCGATATACAATTGGCTATAAAAACCTTTCTTGAGTTACATTTTACAGAAACAGAAAACATTTTTTCGCCTGTGTTTCAGTTATAGTTTGGAGAACTCAAAATATCGTGGAAAATTAAACCTAATTCGGGATCGCTTTCCCACTGATTATTTCTCGTTAGCTAAAACTGCGATGCGTGTTTCTATAACTGTATAGAAACATGGAAAATGTTTTCTATTTCTTAGAAGTTTCAAGTTTGAAATATACAACTTACTTGGTATTCCGGCCGTATACGTGCAAAGGTTTGCGACAAAGTGCACCATCGTCAGTGTATCCAGATTTGCATTTTTGCCAACAAACTGGACCAACACCATAGTAACCCTTTTTGCATTTTGGATAACACAGCAGGCCATTTTTCTCCATCTTCGATTTGCAAGAACTTAGCGGTTTACCAACTCCTCGGCCATAGGTATGTTTCTGACAGGAAAAGCCAATATTTGTCGTTCTAGGAGGACATTTGGCCCAACACACCGGTCCTTGACCGTAGTTATTGTAGCCTGCTTTGCATTTTGGGTAGCACAGAAGACCGTCTTTGATTGGATAATCATAATAACAATCTTTGTCGTAGTTTTGCCGAGCTGGAACACGTCGACTCCTCCGCGATCTTCGAAATCGAGGGAAAATGCGAAATGCTCGAGGATTTCGTTGTTTACTTATTTCCTCGGACATCTGATCTATATATATATATATATATATTTATAATAAGGTTAGTTAGAGTGCATCTAATTTGTTGCGCAAACTGCGCATTGGTAAGTGTGTAATCAGCGCAATCATTAGAAGATGTATAAATTTATTTTCATCCTCCATGTTGTACGTCATTGTTGCCATAGCAACAGCAGTTACATAGCTTTTATGAATTCAAACTCGGCAAGTAAGAAAGTTCTGATCTGATTTTCAACAAGTAATATTTGCCAAAAATGCGAATCTAAATCGTAATTTATTTTTTCAAACTCTACTCAGCCACCTTAATGAGAAACGAACTTGGAACTCCGATCCCAAACTCTCAGACTCGCATACTAGACAAACTGGAATATCTCCCCCACTTCACTGGAGAGATATATTTTCCCACACCTCTTCTAATGTTTGAGATCGTTCTAAGCACGAGATAATGAGACTTAAGGCGGCCATATTATTGTGGTCTTAATTATTGTGACCTCACTAATTATTCACTGCGAAATTTCCGAAGTAGGAGAGCCCACGTATAACCAAGAACATCTTCTAACATGTCAGCACCACTGCTGTAAGTCTGTCCCAGTGAACTCCATCTATTTTACTTTACCTGGAATGATAACACTCAGTCATTTGGCAGTTAAAAAGTGAAACCTCGCGTGACCCACGCGTGAGCAGTGGCGTCAGTCCTCCACGCCATTTCAACGCCATACAGTACGTCAGTTTCAGTCCCTTTATACGCCATCACCGCGCGGCCTATCACAAATCAGCGCTCGTCAGCACGCTGGCGTTGGCGCGAAGTGCGTTGGCATTGGCTTCACGTTTCTCCCGCATGTTATCGTTCCAGATAAAAGACACGGAGTTCACTGGTTTGTCCTGGTCACGCAAATATGGCCGCCATTTGCTTCATTTATATGCATTGCAAATGCTCTATCCAGTGGTAGTTTTGAGACCAGTTGTGTATATCCAGTAATTCGTTTCAGTTGCATGTGAGAAAACTGTTTCGAGTTTTCTTTGCCAAAAATATAATATATACAGGGTACTCCTGGTTTCCATTTCGAGTAGCACTGGATTAAGGTGGCTCAGTACAGTTTTTAAAAAAATGCGATTTAGATCCGTATTTTGGACCATGAATACTTGTTGAAAAACAAAGATTCCCTTACTTATGGAAGGCAATATCTGAAGGGTTTGATTATGGCCGTTATTTTGACTTTAAGATAAGTTATGACTAATCACATTAACCTAACTTGAGAAGTTTTGCCAAGTTGTCCAAAAATACGGATCGGATCTCCATCACAAATTTTCCAATTTTAGAAAAAAGTGCATTTAGCCAACTTAAATTAATATGACGTTTCCCTGACTGGATTTAATAGTAAACTGAGAGATTGGGCACGAGACACGCAGGCATATCAAGTTGATAATCAAAATACGAACGAGCATTTCATAAGGGGCCATTCACAAAGGATGTCCGGCCAAATGATGGATTTTCAGACCCCCCTCCCCCCCTTGTCCGGCATTGTCCGAATTAGTGACCCCTCCCCCCGGACATCCGCCATGCCTCGCAAAAACTCACGCAACCTTGTATATATCAAGAGTAAAAAACTTTTTACTTTTAGAACTTTTTTATAACTGTTAATGTGAACACAAAAACATATAAATTACTAATTAAAACAAAATCTAGTGTTAACCGCATAGTCAAAATGCCAATTTCACAATGGGAAGGACTGCTCAAAATAGAGCGAAAAAGAAATTTGTTTTTGAATTTTTTTAAATTTCGGACATCCGATTGCTAAAAACCCCCCTCCCCCCCTATGTCCGAGTTTGTCCTGATTTTCCAAACCCCCCTCCCCCCCCTCGGCTCGGACATCCTTTGTGAATGGCCCCTAACATAAAAAGTTAAAGGTACCAGGTATATTAAACACGACTGGGACGAAAGAAATAACATGTTTAGGCCTGCAGACATAACTTTCTCTTTACCATTAAAATTTAATAGGCAAAGTTTGTCTGTGCATGTCCGAGATTGGAAAGAACAACATGGCGGCAAAAAAGAAGGTAAATTTTCAGTACTGGCGGAATTTAATACAACAGAAAGTCCTGTAAATAGATTTAATTTGTCAGTTATCCATATTTGTACAAGATTGCATTTTGGTGTTCAGGATGATTAATTTATATTATTTTTTGGACATCCCTCTTTGTAATTACAGTGCAACAATATGTAGTCACAGTGCAAATTTCTTTAATAACCAAGAACCAATCAAATTTGAGCTAAGTTTTATAAAATTGCTGAAAAACAAAACAAAATGGCGCCCGCTTAGCCTATTAATGCACAAAAACTTGGATTTTGGACCAAAGCTTCAGTGCATTAATAGGCTGCAGAGCGGGCGCCATCGTCTGATGATCCAATGGTCTGATGACGATAGGATCGAAATATAAGCCTTGTTTTTAGTCCATAAATCCATATATTGAGGTCTTCAAGATGTTTTAATTTTCCAGCTCTATTTTATACTTTATTGCCTGTACTAACGTTATGAGTATGTGCAGCATGAATAATAGCTGGAGCCAATTATGAAATCAAATTTGGTGATATCCTTGCTCTAGCTACTTTCTTTTAAACCTCTTAATGTACGACGTGCATGACCAGCAGAAATCTATCTTTCTTTATAAAATCCTTAATACCACATCGCTCCCAATTTGAAACAAATATTTATTTCGAGAAGTGATAGGCAAATTAGACAGCATATAAAATAATAATATAAATCTATTAGTTCCAATGTCTAGAAGAAAATTTGTCATAAAAGCGTTCAAACACAGCGGAGCTAAGTTATGGAATGTACTTCCGTCTGATGTTGGGCAGACTCCATCGATTTATGCCTTTAAGAACGGTTAGTCAATAAGCCGTCTAGTTCTCGATGAGCTGCGTCACACCACGACCTTGTAAATGTCGTATTAATTATTCATTTGTTGTTGTAGTTACGTGTTTGTATAATTGTAGCCTGTGTACAGCCGTTAATCTCGACGAAACGCGCGAGAGAACATCTGTGAGTTGGATGCATAATCCTTGTTCAGGTCACATGGATAGTTCCCAGATTTGGGGACAGGCCTTCAGGGGCGAAACTAGCCCCTTTTAATTGGGGGGGGGGCGGGGGTGTCTGCTAGAATTGCCCTGCGAAAGCCGATGATTCCCTTCAGCAAAAAGGTTTTTTTGGCCACTATTTCTTCCAAAAATGTTAGCGAGCAGGGGGGAGGGGAGGGGGGAAGCCCTGGAAGCTACTTAATAACTCTACATTTTATCATTTAAAATATTTCATTGCCCTGCCAATCCAGATGATTTGCCCTGCCAATCCAGATGATTTGTACTTGGGGTGGGGGGGGTGGGGGTTGTCACCCCCCCCCAAGTTTCGCCCCTGCAGGCCTCTGATTGGACAGTGCCTTATTTGAATAATTTGTGACAAATGAAGCTATTTCATTGGTTAATTGATAATTAGCATGCGTTTAAAATAACAACACAAACATTTTAAATTCAGAGTCAGAGATTTCCAGATCAAGAATTAAGATTTCCTTCGGGGCATAGAAAGGTTTGAAAGACTTGAAATATAATCTGAAAAACGATACAACAGAAATATATTGCATAATATTATATTTCTCGATGAAGGGAGTTGTTTTGAGTGCGAACAATGCTGAACGATGATCATGGCCGGCAAGTCCGGTGTACAAGCTCAATTCTTGGCGTACATATATATATTTGTTTTCAAAGACAATTGAAAGTATTAAATATAAACACAACTTGTTATTCAAAAGGTGCATTTTAAAGTAATTAAAAGTTAACTGGCCAAGTAAGACGAAGTTAAACACATTACATATAAAGAAAATGCTTTATCGCGAGAGGTCGGGACATATAACCAGATTGTCAATTTATTAAATTGTCAATTTCCGTCTGATAGTTTGTTGTATTTTATATATTTGTCAGCATTGTTCGCTGAGTGTCCAAATACTTATAGAATTTTATCTTGATATTCTTAAACTTCGATACAGCATAACAGATTATATTTCAAGTCTTTCAAACCTTTGTATGCCCCGAAGGAAATCTTGATTCTTGATCTGGAAATCTCTGAATTTAAAATTTTTGTGTTGTTATTTTAAACGCATGCTAATTATCAATTAACCAATGAAATAGCTTCATTTGTCACAAATTATTCAAATAAAGCACTGTCCAATCAGAGGCCGGTCCCCAAATCTGGGAACTATCCGCGTGACCTGAACAAGGATTATGCATCCAACTCACAGACGTTCTCTCGCGCGCTTCGTCGAGAGTAACGGCTCTACACAGGCTAGTATAATTGTTGATGATTTTTTTCTTACATATGTATAGTCAGGACGCCCCTCACGGAAACCACCTTTTGCTGATGGGGCTAGCGTCGTTAAATAAAGTTAAAATAAATTAACTTTTTAATCTAATCGATTATCTCTTAGGGACGGACCATTGGATATTTGAGAGGGGGGGGGGGTGTTGGGCAAACACCAAAAAAATTCGCGCACAGAAAAATACAGGAAAAAAATATCGTGCACAACAAACCTATTGAAAAAAAAAATCGAGCAAGAACTAGGGGTGATTTTTAAAATCGTAATGCAACTATTTTAAAACATTAAAATGGTGTTTTACGACAATCGAAAAAAATTATGTTTTCCACCCCCACCCCCCCCCTCTCCGGGAAATTTTTTTTAGGTCATCTTAAAAAAAATATCGTGCAAAGAAATGTTGCAGAAAAAAATAAATTCTTGCAAGCAATTGGGGGATTAAAAAAAATTCCTGCACAGAAAAATTGCCCAACCCCCCTCAAATATCTAATGGTCCGTCCCTTACTCTCTCACACTGCACAAATGTTGGCTTAATTTCCGGTTATCAAAAGGATAGTCTTTCGATACCTCCCGCCAGAAACCTATACCAACTTGATACGCATGCGCGTTTCATCATATATTAAATCCATTCTGTTTGTGAAACA